TGTGTGGGTGTGTATAGTGGATGCAGTGTTTGTGCAGTGCATGTCGTGTGTGTTTTGTGTGGTACAAGTGCTGGGGGGGAGCAGTTTACATTGATTTACTCCCCCTCCCTGCCTCTTACCCATGGGCAGCAAGGGGACACTCGATTCCCTGGTTGGCTGGTGGCACAGCATGTTTGATCAATGAAGAGGGGGCCCAGGAGTCTCCATGTAACACCTTCAGCAGCAGCAGCAGGTCCTCTGTTCACGTGATCTGCAGGTTGCCATGGCAATGCTCAGGCATGCATTGCGTGCTGTGTGGAGCATTGAAGTAGCAATGTGCTGTAATAGTCTCGCAGCTAGCGAGAACAGAGGCCCTGCTGCTGCTGGAGGTGTAACATGGAGACTCCTGGACCCACAACTGCAAATATATATAGCGGTACCTGATATAAGTATAGGCATATAGGTGACCTGTGCCGCCGCTATCAAATTGCCATCCGGGGCCATGTGCCCATCGGGACCAGTGCCCCAGTCACCCCCTAATGAGTGGGACTTGGGGATGGCCACACCCCCATTAGTACATCACTGCCTCCATGCTTGTGTTCATGTGAGTAACTGCCCCTGCACATGTCAGAGAACCTTTTCCCCACTCCTTATTTAATGCCTTTAGCTTACCCCTATTCTATAATTTTCATTAATCCATTTATCCCTATTCCACCATTCACACCATTCTCCCTCCATTTCCCTTATTTGTCAGCTCCCTCTGCCTTTCAAGCCACTGGACGATTGACTTGATTCATTCTATGCAAGGTAAGTATTTTACCTTCAGTTTCGATATACATGTCAGGTGTCTCGGTGCTTCCAGCATCCCTTTAATGTTCCAGTTTTAAGCGAGCCTCCAAAGCCTGAGCCTCCGGGGATGCCTGCAGCGCTATGTGACATGTTATGAAAGAGACTCACCCTGCGTTTCATGTTTTCACACAATGGAAGGCAAATTTCAATTTTTGCCAGATCAGCAAAGGGAGAGCGATCAGGCTCACTATATTAATACAAAAAAATCTGTTTATATTAACAAAAACATGTCATTGTTTTAAGTTGAAATTTCAAAAGGTTAACTTGGCCAATTCGAGCGTCACTGCCTTAGAAATGGGAAACTCTGCTTGGAATCCAGGTCAAACCACCTCACCAATAAAACACCTAGCTATATATGTTGGCCTAGTATAGATTGTAAGCTTGTTTGAGTAGAGTCTTCCTCGCCTCTTTCTCTAATTGTAAAGCGCTGCATAATATATTGGCACTATATAAATACTAATAATAAATAAGTCAGAATTATCACGATATCTCTAATATGACAAAGTCCCACTTTTTATTTCTCATTTCATTACATTATTTATTAATTTTATTGTATCAAAAAATTACATTCACCAAGAAGCACTGCGAGAAAGCCGGGCAGGTTAACTCCTTAACGGGGTCTTTGGATATGTCCCATAGTCATAACCAGGTGGCTCACTTATAGACAAAGAACCCCAGAATGAGGTCTCTAGCAAGGACATAGGGAACACTCCCACAACACGCCCAAGACACACCCAGGCGTCTCTGTGTCTGGGAGATAATTTAATGTACTTGGCTTAAACTAATTATCTCCCAGGCACTAGAGGTACAAATAATAAAACATAAAATACCTCAAAATACCTGTAACACATACAGGGCCACCACCAGAAATTTTGGGGCCCCACCCACAGGGTCCGCCTCCAAATCCTGCCCACAGGAATTCACACACAGACACAAACACACACACTGATACAAAAGGACACAGATACACACACACACAAATACATACTAACAGACACACATACTGAAACAGACAAACACGCATACAGGCATACATACTGACACACATATACTGAGATACACACAGACATACATAGTGACAGACAGACACATACTAACATACATACAGACACACATGCATGAGGACATACAGACACATACATACATACACACTGACATACATACAGACACCGACATACATACACACATACATACATACACACAGACATACATTCATAATGTAGCCCCATGTAGCCGAATCACAGCTTAGCGGAAAAGGGCCTTGACAGGGGTTAGGAGGCGGGCTTAGGAGGAAGCGGCTAGGACTGGTGGGTTGTGGGATAGGGGACTGGCTATTTAAATATGTGGCCATTTTGGAATGTGCACTGTTAATCTCCTACCTGGCCGTGTTTGTGTGTGCCCCCCCGGTGCTCACGGACTTGCTGGGTAGGGTTTTTTCCTTTTGTCTCCTTCTGCAGGGGCCATGGACGATGTGGAGAGGCTCCTGGAGGGAATCCGGATGGCGGCGCAGCAGCAGGGAGCAAAATGGGTGAGAGCCCAGCTGGGACCAATCCTATCAGCGGTGGATGGAGGAGGTGGACGCCCGACGCTGGTCAGGAGGCCCCCGAGCTGTTTGAGTCTGGGCGCAGTGCCCGCAGGCGGCACTGGCGGGCAGGAGCTGGCTAGGGAAGGCCGCGGCAGGTTTGTAGGCCGCGCGTGGTGCCTCGCGACTGGCGGCTGCCCTGGACGTTGGCGCCCCGGGCTGGATGGGGCGGTGCCTGGAGCGGAGGCTGCGATGGTGGCTCGACGGCCCTGTGTGGAGCCCGGCGGGAAGGGGTTACAGCCCGGGAGGGCGCCCTCATCGCTGAAGGCTGTGGACAGTAGAGCCATGGCCGGGACGGCTCAGAGCTGGCCCAGGACACGGCAGGCAAGTGCAGGGGGCCCTTCTGGGGGCCCTCTTGGCGTGGGGGACAGGGGGGGAGCTGGCTAGGGAAGGCCGCGGCAGGTTTGTAGGCCGCGCGTGGTGCCTCGCGACTGGCGGCTGCCCTGGACGTTGGCGCCCCGGGCTGGATGGGGCGGTGCCTGGAGCGGAGGCTGCGATGGTGGCTCGACGGCCCTGTGTAGAGCCGGGCGGGAAGGGGTTACAGCCCGGGAGGGCGCCCTCATCGCTGAAGGCTGTGGACAGTCAGAGCTGGCCGGGACGGGTCAGAGCTGGCCCAGGACACGGCAGGCAAGTGCAGGGGGCCCTTCTGGGGGCCCTCTTGGCGTGGGGGACAGGGGGGGAGCACAGCCTGGGGGGAAGTGGTGGGGCACGGGTTAAAAGGAGGGTGCCAGGTAGCTCCCAGGGCTTGGGGGGGCGGGAGAGGGTCAAAGCTCAGCTGTAAGGGTGCTGGGGTCGCCGGATGGTTCCCAGGGGGCACAAGGAGGGTCCTTAGGTCGGGCAGGAGAGGATGGGGGGACCACCAGCGGTAGATCCTGGTAGATCCTTGTAGGCAGCGCTTGGGAACCGGGGGGATCAGGGAGGCCACTTGCCTGGGCATGGTGGGGGGAGTCGAGGGTAGGCTATGACAGTCCTAGGGCCAGGAATGGTGGGCTGGGGGGTGGCAGGCTTGGTAGTATGTCTGGTTCGGGTCTAGCAGCGTTAGCCCCTCGCCGGTTAGGGACACGGGGTCACGTAGGGTTCATAGGAGTTCACAGCTCTGACGGTCTCCGTCCGGCAGTTCGGCAGAGGTCTAGGTCACCAGGGCAGAGTTGATGGGGGCGGGCAACAAGGGGAGGTTCAATGCTAGGCGCCCGGTGTCGTTGCGGGTGCTCGGAGATCTAATCCGAGTGTTACCGGAAATCTGTTTCAACGGTTTTGAGGTTGTTCCGGGCAGCTTTTCTCTTGGCCTTTTTCGGGGCCTTTAGAATTGGGGAGTTGGTGAGTGCTTCAAGGTCGGCTGCGGGGGGTCTGCAGGTTCGCGTACTTGGGGGGAAGCTGGTGGTATACCTGGCCAGGTCCAAGACGGATGTTGGGGGAAAGGGCCGGGATGTGATACTGGGTGCCCTGCCGGGTTCCACATTGTGTCCAGTGGCCATGGAACATGGTACTTGGATCAAAGACCGGCGATTGGGGGGTCTTTATTGGTTCATGCAGACGGCTCCTCGCTCTCTCGTTTCCAATTTAACAAGGTTTTCCGATCGAGCCTGGGAAAGTTGGGGCTGTGTGCAGGTACTTACAGGACACATTCTTTCCGCATCGGGGCGGCCACGCAGGCCGCGCGCCTGGGCATGGAGGATGAGTTAGTTAAAAGAATTGGGAGATGGGAGTCAGTTCGGTTCCGCACGTATGTGCATTTGGGCTTGTTGGATCAGTAGTGCGGGCCTTGGGGGGGACTCCGGTGGGGGAATGGGTATGTTTTCCTTTTTCCCCAGGCCGTGACGCATGGATCATGGGCCACTCCTTTGTCTTCTGGGCCTGGAAGGAGGGCTGCAGCTCAAGCCCAAGGCCAACAACTGGGCTTTCTGAAGAACCAGCTGGCAGTACGATGGTTGGGGTATAGGGGATTTTGCTGGGGTGACGTGTGCGGTGCGATATTTCGGAGGGTTGCAGGCAGGGTGAGGCCGGATATGCTAGTTCTACATGCGGGGGGCAACAACCTGGGCCTCATACCGTAGCGGAGGTTAGTCAAATGGATGAAGCAAGACCTCAACAAGCTGGTGGATCTTCCCGGGGTGATGCTGGTATGGTCGGAGATTGTCCCGAGTTGATGTTGGCGGCATGCGTGGGACCCAGTGGCCATTGACAGATGCAGGGGCAAGGTTAACAGCTTGATGGCAAGCTTCGTGAGGAAATTGGGGGGGTAGTGAGACATGGAGAATTGGAAGGCGGGTTGCCAGGATATTACCACACGGATGGCGTTCATCTTTCAGCGGTGGATTGGGACCTGCTGAACTTGGGTTTGCAGGAAGGGATGCAGAGGGCACTCTTTCTCCGGGGTGGCGGAGCTCAGAAGGCTTGAGGAGTCAAGGTCTGAGCTTGTGGCGGGATAGGGAGCTGAGGAAGAGGAAATAGGCTCCACATGAGGAACGTGAGGAACATGAAGAATTGTGGTCACTGGTGATTGGTAGGTTTCGAGTCCTGGAGGTGGCTCAGAACCTGGTGGGGTAGGGGTATCCGGGTATACCCCTGCCGTGGTTACTTATGGTTGGCACTTAAATTGGTTCATGTTGGAGTAAGTTTGAAAAGTGTTATATATATATTTATGTGTTTGTTATGTCGGGGTCATTGCCTTTTATATTAAAAGAAGGATATGGATGCAAGAGCGGAGTATGGGGGCAATGACCCATGTTTATATGTTAAATTATTATTATCGTTGTGATGGAACGCTGGCACTCCAACTGAGTACCTCCGCCAATCGATGCTCCTAATGCTCGCTGAGGACTCCAAGCACTCCAACCGACACCATCAGCACTGCAGACCCCACTTCCAGCGATGCAACTGCGCCGGGGTCTCTGCTGTCTCCACCCACCTTGGACCCAAGGCCAGGATCCAGCTTCCAGTGGGTGAACCTCTCTTTCCCCAGAGAGCAAGAACAGGAACAAGCTCTTAGCAGAACTTAGTGATCATACTCTGGGGAGTATAGTGATTATAGCAATCCCCAGAGTGTATTTTCAATCCCCCAAACATGAGCCAAGACTTAATGCTGGAACAAGACTGATTTACTGGCACACAGAACGCACAATTTATGCAACACAAAACTCCTCCTCTGGGCCAGGCTAAATAATTGAGTTTCTATAATACACAAAGCTCAATTATCTGCTGGCCAGAAATAATACAGTTTTTACAGCATTCATAACTTCTAAAATATACATCACATTCACATAAATATATATTCACAATCAATCCATTCAGGGAAACAACATATCAAAAAATGGCATGAATCCGACCAGGGGTTCAGAAGTTAGTAAAGTATCTTTTGGGGCCTGGCTGGAATCATGGCTATCTGACCCAAACTGGTTTTACAGAGCCCTCTAGCCTGGAGACAATGGTGAAAGTAATCCAATTATCCAGGGATAGAAGCAGACTCCATTGAGCACATGTTCCCAGTAAAACACAAAAGGATACAAAAATACATAACTCCTATCATTCTAATTGAACGGGCCAAATCGCCCAGGGTCCATAGTCACAGGGCAAGAGGCGGGCGAGCAGTTCTCTCCAGGCACAAGTGGCGAAGAGCACTTCGTCACAATCGTTATTATGATTGTTATTGTTAATTTGTTCGTATTATTATACCTGTTTAATAAAAGCTGTGGACAATTTGACCAATATACCCTAGTGTCGGCGTGTTATTGGGATAGGTATGTGGGGGGGGTTTGTCCAAGGTTCCGACTGCCCATATGGCGACTATACACCGGTCATGACATATAGACAAACATACATTCATACTGGCATACATACATACATACATATACACAGTCATACATACACTCATAATAGCATATAGACATACATACATACATTCATACTGGCATACATGCATACTGACATCCATACACACATACACACAGACATACGTTCATAATGACATACAGAAATACATTGCTACTGGCATACATACGTACAGATAGACATATATACATACATACTGACAGACATACATGCATACAGACATACATTGATACTGGCATACATACATACATACAGACATACATACAGACATATGTTCATAATGACATACATATATACATACATAATGACATACATACAGACATACACACACATACAGCTCATTTTTAAGCCACCCTCCTGTTTCTTACCTTTTTTTGCAGGAGGGTGGCTGGGGCTGATGGGAGTCGGTGCGGCTCCCTCTTCACTGGCACACGCTCCTCCCGCGCGGAGTGAGCTGGGAGGAAGCGACCACTTCCTCCCAGCAGCACTTGCTGTGTTTTTTTTTTTAAAGGGGCCCGGTCAGCATTGTGGGCGCGTAGTAGCGCGACCGGGCCCCTTTAAAAAAAAAAACACAGCAAAGATATGAAGATATAGGGACCATCGGGTGGCCATAAGTGCATGGGCCACCCAATAGGCCCCTTCTGCGCGTGGGCCCCGGTGCAACTGCACCGGCGGCAGTTCCGCCACTACACGTGGGGCCCGGGCGGCTGGGCTCCCAAGGGCTGCCGGGCCCGTGACAACCGTCATAGTTGTCACACCCTGATGGTGGCCCTGAACACATATAGGAACCCCCACAGTTATTATGTCCTCAGATAGGCTGGATCTGAGCGCCATAGTTATCCAAATAGGGCTCAAATCCCACGAACACAGCCGAATCACCACTGGGGTAAAGTTTTGGCCGACCACACACGTGGCATCTGTCCAAATTAGTTCCAGAGAAATAGTGATAGCGATCCATCTACCGAACCCAGGGAAAGTAAATGGGTGAATAAAATACATCGTTTTTGTCACACTTTCCTTTTCCTGTACAAAGTTTGTGCAATCTAATGTTTTCAAACCTGTGCTATGAATCAGGAAGTGCCCTCTAGTGGCTGTCTAGTAGACAGCCCCTATGGGGGGAGTTAAGCCTGCAAGGTAATTATTGCAGTTTATAAAAACTGCAATAATTACACTTGCAGGGTTAAGGGAAGTGGGAGTTGGCACCCAGACCACTCCAATGGGCAGAAGTGGTCTGGGTGCCTGGAGTGTCCCTTTAAGCCGCGAGTATAATAAGTGGTGTTTGGTCGTTGAGTTCATGGAACTTAAATCGGACACGCAACGGTGCGAACACCACTAAACTTTTACCTTCCATGGAGGTTCGGTTATTCGAACAGGAGAATAAACTTACAAAGAGACATACACTGACTTTATCCATGAATGTCTACGTTTGGTATTTTAAATGTTATTTCGAATCCTCAAAGTAGACTGGCCGCACCGCCTGATTCTCTGGAACTGTTTTGGGCATGGTACCATGCATGCGGTCGGTCAAAGTGTGACTTCCAGGAAATTTCGGAACCCTTAATTGATCTGGGTGAGTTTTGGATATGTTGGTCACCCAGATCAGGGTATCTGGGGATGTGACATTTGTGGGGATATCATGTGTTTTTGGGGTACTTTTGGGGTTTTGTGGAATGTGTGTTTTTTTCTGCCTGGAGATAATAGGGTTAATACAGTATATGACTCAATTATCTCCCAGGCAGAGAGGAGGGATTGTATGTTTGTTATGGGAGTGTTGTGCATTTAATCACTGTTCTTGTTGGTCTGTGTCTTTGTGTTGGAGTCCCAACAAGGTCCATGTGGGCATACCCCTTGCATGGGGATTGTTATAAAAGGACAGTGTGGCACCATTAAAATTCAGTTCCACTTAACCCTCAACACGCAGTCTTGTCTCGTGATTGTAGGGAACAGCTATACCAGCTATACCAGCTATAATCCCTGCTTCTGCGATTGTTCTATACAGGCTATAACCTCTTGGATGGCGAGACCCCAGCCAAGCTGCGGCGGCTAGGGGTGCTACGGTGCTGATGGTGTCCGGTGCGGTGCTTATGGTACTCAAGGTGACTAGGAAACAATGATTGACGGAGGCACCCAGTCGGGGTGTCAGGCGATCCGTCACAGCTCCCCCCCCAGTCGTTAGATCCTATCTGCCGAACGTGGTTCGTCTAGTTGGTCGGGAAAGTGTACAGGTAGCAGTACCATCTTAACAGGGGTTCACAAGAACGTCTAGCCGAACTTAGCTCCACACAGTCGACGACCAAGTACCGCTGCCTGTGTTCGGGAGACAAAATGGCCGCCTTGCACTGGACCACGTGCGTTTGGTTATACGAACTGCTGCCACCCAGGGAAATCACTTGAATTAATCCTTCATTTGCTGTTAACAGCCAAGTGTGGTCGGTGTTCTAAGTCAATAAAGAGGCGGACCACACAAGTATTGTTTGGTTCCTGAGCAGGGGGGGATGGATCTGTTCGGCAGAGCTAAATATAGGTTTGGGCAACCTCAGGGAATAATAACCAGGTCCGCCACACAAAGCACGAGTTAAAATCAAAGATTAATGTAGGTTTGGGGTAATGGATTCACCAGTTCCAGCTGTTATAGTGGGCACTCAAGGCTGTTACACCATAACCCCTTAATTGTATTTATTTTTTTGTTTATAGAGAACTTTGCAATCCGGTTAATCAGGGAATTGCCAAGAATTACACATACTGACTCTCATACCAATGAATTGGCTATGAAAGCACATAGATTGCATGTGATGGTCGTCGGCAGTGAGATAGTGTGATGATTGGTGCTGCACGTGGCCTCCATGTGTATGTCTAGAACTGATCATCGCAAAGAATCTATACCGGCAGCACAGTATGAACACGTTAATTAATTCAATACTTTTCCATGAAATGCATTTTATTGATTGCTTGCACTAGATCATATTGCACATGTCCGCAATGCATTTGATTCTTGTCGATTTTGGCTTTCTGACACTGATTGGGATGATCAGCCATGTGTGACAAGGCTGGAAGATATGAAGTATGAGTTTAAAAGCTGTTTCCCATTTGTTTTATCCAAACAAAATGGACCAGAGCATTCCTAAATATAATATTTTGACATAAATGTTATAACAATGTTTTTTGCCTAGCGTATCCCTTTTAGGTAAAATATCTCTCTGGCTCTGAAATGATTGCTTTCTCTATATTGATTTTGCTTTGACCTCTCCCGTCATTCACACTCCTCGAGCCCTGCGTCCTTTACTTTAATTCTGCAGCTCTTGCTATACCTGTTTCAGTTGTCATTAGACTACACTAGAATTGTGTTAGCTACCACCCCTCCTATTTAGCAACCTTACTCGGTTAACTGCTTCACTACCAGGATATTGTATAAAAACAGATTTGAAGAAAATTAGAAATGAGAAACAAGTTAAGAAAATCTCAGAATGATAAAATAACTTAATGTTCACTGATCGCTGTTCAGGAATACCCAAAATGTTTAATAATATAAACAAACGCTTATTTGCGCATACTTTACAGAATATGTGGGGGCAGTTGGTAAAGCATGAATATTATATGTATTTACTGAGGCTGTGATGCACAGTGACATGATGTATACGATATATATTGGAAGGGACACTTCAACTGGCTTTTGACCCTAACCTACCATCTACTAGGAACCAAGCTAAAGGACATATCCACAGGCCGGGATCATACTGTCCAGGCGCATATAATGATACAGGTCAAACTCAAATAAGAATTCTGAACATTAGCATTGAGCTCTCTCACTATATGAATTATATAAAGTTTCTAAAGCGATGAATATGGAGACTGACTCCCTTTAACAATATGGTAAATATCCACCTAGGCCAATCGCTTTCTATTCTCCTTGAGAGCTATGTCTGTGTATTTTGTTAGATTGATGCTAACAGAAACTAATTGTCCCCAAAACATTTAACACCCATTTAATACATTTCCATTCTATTTGGGCAGACCATCAGTACAGTACCATTGTACAAGTCATTTCCCAGTGGAAAAGATGCCACGGTGAGTTGTATTTTTATTTTGTTTTGCTTCACTGTCCTTGTTAAAGACAATGCAATCACAGAACAGTAATGCTTGTCTAACAACTATTGTGTGATCTGCTTGTCATTTCCTCAGAATGGTAAGAGGAGAGGCCATAGAAATCTGTGAGAATGAGGGACAAGACAAAAGGCAAACAAAAAGGGGTGGGGGAATGGCTGAAACAAGTCATGAGAATCTGTTTTACTAGCATGCGCGATCACGTCTTCTCAGAAGTTCAGAACCAGTTCATCTTGTTCACCTGAATCTTTGAATCTCCCCTTTGCCATTTGAGCTGAGAAAAGAAGGTGCACGGGATTAGCTGTCAAAGTGACTAACTCCATGAAGTAATTCTGATTGAAGTTATTGTCACTGGAAAATTAATATATATGCAAGAAATGTCATATAATGCATTCTGTTTAACACTGTGGAATAGTGGATTGTGTTAAATGAAGTGAAGACTGCTAATACAATTAATACAGAATAAAGAAATCCTGTTATTTGTAGATCTCGAGAACAACTTACTTTATTGTTATAACTGCAACTTACACTCACATCTCTGAAGCACAGAATTATTTGAAGGTTAATTAATCATTATGTAAACTATTTCAATTTTATTGAGTAGCAACAGGATAGTATACACGGTACAGACTGGAGCTCACAGTCTGGCCTGTGGCAGAAATACCTCTGCTATGTGTTCTTGGAGGGGCCTGCTTTCCAGCCTCCTGCCAAAAGACTATGGGCCAGGTCAGCAACTGTAAAGACCCATATTTTATACCCCCTGGTTCCCCTTGGTTCGGCACTTTCCATTTGTGAACATAGAACCGAACGCTAAAACTGTGAATAGACTTCGGGGAACTTAGCCGCGAACGCCCTGGAACTATTTTCAGCATAAAGACTTTGCAGCTCCCGGTCGGTCCCCAGTGATTCTATGGAACTATTTTTGACTAGGGGACCGTGCGGTTATCGGTCAAATTATGACTTCCAGGAAATTCTTGAACTCCTGAACCGATCTGGGTGATTTTTGTATATGCTGGTCATATCTGGGCTATCAGGGGATGTAACTTTTGTGGGGGTTTTGTGTGTTTAAAGGCATTTTGGGGGTTTGATAAAAATTTATGTTTTCTGTGCCTGGAGATAATTGAGTTAAATACAGTGCTTGACTCAATTATCTCCCAGGCGCAGAGGAGGGATTATCTTGTTTTATGTGGGAGTGTCCTGGTCCAGGGGGGCGTGCCCCTTGCATGGGGACCTGCAGATAAGGCCAGTTTACCCTCAACACAGAGACTCGTCTCGTGATTGTAGGCAAAAGCTATACCAGCTATAATCCCTGCTCCTTGGATTGTTCTTTGGATTGCTATAATCAGTAGCTCTTGTAAGAGCTACATTGCTATATCTGCTATACTCTCTTAGAGGAGAGGTCTTCTCACTGGGAGCTAGATCCAGGAGTTTGGTCCAGGGTGAGAAGGGACGGCGAAACCCCAGCCAAGCTGCGTTAGCTAAGGGGCTACGGTGCTTATGGTGTCCAGTGAGGTGCTTATGGTTCTCGACGACAGCTAGGAAGCAGCAATTGGAGGAGGCACCCAGTCGGGGTGCCAGGCGGTCCGTCACATGGCCTAACACTCTGACAACTGCAAACCAACAATCTCTAGATAAACTAAACTAATTTGGTACTATACCTATATGAGGGAAGGGGGGAAATACCTATACTGGCCGCTTGTGCCTTCGAGGGCACCCCCAGTCTATACTTCTCCCTTCCTGAAATAAAGTTGGCAGTCGTCTTGAAAAGTACCTAGCAGCTGTAGAGAGAAACTACCTGAATCGGGAGAAACATGAAAAATCAAAAGTATAATACCAAAAAAATTAATTTCCTAATCTATCAGATTAAAGAAACAGACAGGAAGCTGGTATGATAACCGTTGAAGCTACACCAGCTTTGGGAAGATAATAGGAGCCCCTCGGATAGTTTACCTAGATCGTTGGTTTGCAGCTGTCAGAGTGTTAGATCAGACTGTGAGTTCCAGTCTGTACTGTGTATACTCCCTTGTTACCACTCTTGCTAATTAATGAAGTGAAACTTCCCTTCACCTTATCACTGCTCTGTTTCTTTTCATTGCTACTTTATTTATTATTCCATTATACAGGCAGTGTATATCACATTGCAGCAACATTAAGGAGATTTTTTTTACATTATGTTATTGGTTCTGTATGTAAATATTTTTTAGTTCTTTTGCTTGTATATAATTACTTAGTTTTCTTCTATGCCAATAAAAGTTAACTTTTATTAACTCTTGGGATGTAAACAAATCCGTGTAAAAAAAGTGTAAACACAACCCACCGTGTGTAAGACAAAAACACACAGCAATACACTAGGGATGTGTGTAACGGAACTCTTCCGTTGATGGACATTTCCTAGCCTGCCCCGAGGACCACAAGCACCGCACCGGACATGACAACCACCGCAGACTCCACAACCACCGTAGCTTAACTGGAGTCTCGCCGTCTTCTGTCCACCCTGGATCAGCTTCTGTCCTCCAGGACCGTGTGGGGAAGACCTCTCCTCCAGGAGAGCGTATCAGGAACAGCTCTTAGAAGAGCTAGGTGATTTAAAGCTCAAGGGAGTATGCAGAGCATAGGAATCTCCAGTGTGATATAGCAGTTCCCTCCAATCATGAGACAAGACTACGTGTTGAGGGTCAAGAAGATCTGTTTTACTTGGCACCAAAGGGCCTTCTTTTATGCAGGTCTTACACATACAGGACCGCCCACAGGGTTTTTCAGAACAACCAATAAAAACATTACAACACATACAATAAAGTAAACCACTCCCAGCAGAAATCCTCCCCTCTGCCTGTGATACAATTATCTCAACACAATAGACTAACTTAATTATCACAGGCAGAAAATATACAGTTTTTAAACAACATTAATAACTTTAAAAGTATACATGCAATATTAATAAAAGTTACATATTTGAAATCAGCGTCCTCGTCCTTTAAATATAATTATACTCAAAAATCATAAAAATCCGTCCAGTAGATCAAAAGTTAGTCGAAGTCATTTTTCTGCCAAAAACAGTTCCATAGATTTGGGCTGTGCGGTCGGTCAATTTCACACTGAAAAATGACTAAGTCCCATTCGAACGTGTGTTTGAATCTTCGAACAGGACTTAGCCTCTGGCCGCAGTGTCGAAGTGGAGGGAGAACGTACGGGTCAGCGGTGTTCACGGAAATGTGTAGCCGATTTCAGTTCCATTGATTCCGGAGCACACACTGCTGAGTGCGTTTGACTAACTTAAAATGGCTGACGCCACGTGTTCGGTTTTCGAATGGCGGCCACTTCCACTACTTCGACTGCATCCAAAGTCCCACTTTAAAAGTACAAATCCTTTCTCTGGGAGTTAAAGGGCCAGCAGCACAATAAAACTCCATTATGCCCAAATCAGTTCCTTAAAGGGCAATACATCCCAGGGGCCATAGTCACATGGCAGGAGGCTGGAAATCAGTCCTCTCCAATGCCCAGTGGCAAATGGCAGTTTCTCACAATGTTCATAGGCAAAAAATTTGGTTGGGACTTCGAGACTTCGGTACTTTGGTTCGGTTCGGCACTTCAAGAATTTGGCAATTCGGCAGTTCGGTTCAGCACATCCGAAATTCGTGACTTCGGCACTTTGGCATATATGCTGCTTGTATATATTTACTAAGTTTTTATCTATGCCAATAAAAGTTAACAAATCCATGTAAAAAAGGTGTAAACACAGCCCACCCTGTATAAGACAAAAAAACACAGCAATACACTAGGGATGTGAATGGGCAAAAAATTTGGCTTGGTTTGGCACTTCTGAAATTCAGGGCTTCGGCAACGCGGCACTTTGGCACTTCCGAAATTTGGCACTTCCGAAATTCGGCAATTCGAGACTTCGGCACTTTGGTTTGGTTCCGCGATTCAGCACTTCGGGAATTCAGCAATTCGGGACTTCAGCAATTCGGCACTTCCGAAATTCAGGACTTCTGCAATTCGGCACTTCTACATATATACTGCTTGTATATATTTACTGTTTTTATCTATGCCAATAAAAGTTAACTTTTATTAACTCTTGGGATTTAAACAAATCCGTGTAAAAAAAGGTGTAAACACAACCCACCATGTATAAGACAAAAAACACAGCAATACACTAGGGATGTGCATGGGCAAAAATTTGGTTCAGTTTGGCACTTCCGAAATTCGGGACTTCGGCAACTCGGGAATTCGGGACTTCAGCAATTCCATACCCTGACCCCTAACCCTAGCACTACCCCTAACACTAACACTAAATC